CCGTCTAGATTCACCAAACATTACTTCACTATTTAATTTTAATTTTCGAAGCCATATACGTACTAACATACTTTAACTTTAGCCATGGATATAAAGAAATGAAGTTGTAAATTAAGATAAAACTATATATAGTTTGTATATATACCTAAATTTTATCATTATTTATATTTATAACATAATGAAGTTAATTGATTAGTTATCACATACTACGTATGATTAAATGTGATAATTCTATCATTCATGTTTGTTAATGTATATGTATATATGTATTTTGTACACACAAAAATACAATATTACTTATCATATTTATGCAAATATATAGATAAAAATGCAACTTCTATGTTTCCGACTAGTCCCCGACTAGGCGCCCGCCTAGCCGCCTAGGCGCTAGGCGCTGGGCTGGCGCCCGACTAGCGCCTAGCGCCTTTTAGAACATTGCTTTTCACAAAGTCACAAACTCTTATAGTCACCAAAATTGTACCAGCCTTTTATCTTTAAATGATGGTGTCTTGTCTTACCTTGACACATACGGAAAATGATTGATACATGGAGCATCTTGGCCTAGATAAGAATGGCCCAGTAAAACTTGATCTAAAGTTTTGGCCAAGATAAGAATGGAGCATCAAGGTTTTATTTCTAAAGTTCACTAGACCTAGTAAACTTGAAAGGAATATACATGATTTTTTTTACAGTGAGGTATAGGTTTCAAAAGTAAATGTTTGAAATTGTTTAATTTTCAAAGATTAAAACCTTTGATCAAGGATCAATATCATAATAGCACCGCAGCAACTATCCATAAAAAATGGAGTATGTAATTAATTGATTTATCTTAAAACAATATAGTTACGCTTCACAATAATATACTAGCAGGAATTGACAACCCTCTAAATCTCAGCCTACCCATTTCATATAACTGGCAAGGTAATGGTTATCTTTGTCGCATTCTTCAAGCATATCAGTCCGCACAGTCGAACATGAAGGGTGAGTATTTTCTTCATTTTCAAGCATATGAATGAGCACAATATTAAACCACAGTTTGATTGCTTCGGGTTGTTTTATTTTGGTTTCAGTTTTTTTTAACTTTTTTATACTAAAACTTGACATTTGATTTAAAATGATAGGATAGCGGGAGCGATCAAATATATTACATAAAAAAAACATACTTGAACAAATAAAATAAAAAAGAGAGGTAATAAATATGTCGAGACTTATATGAGTACGCGGGAGAGATAAACGTGTACATATTTTTAATGTACGTTGTTTATGACTAGTTTGAAAAAATTCATGAATATATACCTTCTATGTATATAGTTGAGATGAAAATTTATTTGTTTTATCAATAAAAAATTTAAGTTATACGAAATATAAAAATAAAAGTTAATTACTAGTAATAATCAGGGATGGATTTAGGGGGGGGGCGCGGGGGGGCGACCGCCCCCCTTGGACTTTCAAAATTTTCTACCATATATGTAATATTTTCATAAAACTTTCATAATTTAATTAGATTCGCCCCCCTTATCTTTTAATTTTCAAAATTAATATATAGTGTTACATAATGTAATACTTAATTGAAGATTTAAAAGAAGGAACATCTAAAATAATTACATAACTTAAACAAATAAACAATAGAATAACTCGTTGTTTAAGATTTAGGATACTTATTATATAAGAATTCCTAGTTTTGTAGTGTTTAATTATCTTTATTAGATAACAAGTACTTGATTTTGTAAAATATATATCAAACAATATTAAATATCATACACACTAATTACACAGTTTTTAGATCACGTGAAATGAATCCAAAATATAAATGTTTATTGACATTAAATTACATAATTCATTTACTTCTTGCTTTCTAAAAATAATTTATTGCATAGATAATAAACTTTAAATTATTATAGCATTAATACAAATATTAAAATATAATATGCACCATATATGTGTGTGTATGTGGTGCATATTATTCTAAAAATAATAATATCATACATACTACTATTGTAATATTAAGAAAACTTCTCATGAGTCATGACTCACGAACACCCTCCTTGGTGGCCGGACAAAAATTACAATTCAATAATAACTGATTCATGAGGTTAAACAATGTAGAAGTTATTAAAAATGTATAGGTTGATATCTTTGTCATCGTCTAATTTAAACTTAGAATGTACTACTTAATAGATTTAAATGTCGTTGGGGATATGTATGTATTAATGTCATTTTTTGAATAAAATTAGCCGCATAGCCCTACAGTAGCGGAAAAAATTCGCCCCGCTACACTAGGGAAAAAATTTCGCCCCACTACACTAACGAAAAAATTTTCACCCCCTACACTACCGAAAAATTTCGCCCCCCTTGAATAGAAATCCTGGATCCGTCCCTGGTAATAATCAATAAAAATGTATCATCATCATGCAATAAATTGCAACATACACACATAAAGACAAGATAGATCAATATAGCTACATTATTACAAGTAATGAATGTATAAATACATTTATAAACTAAATTAAACATAACACAAAGATTAAGTTTCTAGCACATGAAAGCCAAAGACTATTAGATCAGTATTAGTATCAATTTGGATTGATGCTTAGCAATTAAAAAATAAAATTTCATATTTTAAGTAGTTCGATTTATTCTCTACAAATCAACTATGTATTCCCTACATTAAAGTTGATATTATTAATTCTAAAAATCTAGTTACATCAGCGTTTCTTAAACTTTTTAAAAACCACATAAACTTACTTTATCAATACAATATCAACTACATAAACTTACTTTTCTTAATACTCATGTCACTTCTTTATATCCCAATGCTAGTGGGACGGGGGTAATATTTTTTTTTTTTTTTGCATTTTTTTTCATGTAAAAACAAGATTCTCAGCTCACAACCTTGCCTGAAATTTAAATCTAGTGAATTATTTAAGCCAAGCAATGTGATGTTCCAAACCTGCAACAATGTTAGAAAAGTCTTGATCACCAAAATTGTACCATTTCATTTTCTTTAAATGTTTGTCTTGTCTTACTTTTACAAATAGAAAATGATTGATATGTGGAGCATATTGGCCAAGATAAGAATGGCCCACAGGAGTCAAATTTAAAAATTATTTAATAAAATAATCACCCTTGAATAGCCATATAGTTCATTGACGGAAGACTCATTAAAATAACTTTGATTTTTGTAATATATTTCATAAATTTGATTTTGAATGTGAGATAAATAACTTGTGCCATTAAAAATGAAATTGATTTGTTTACCCAGTGAAATCAATATTAATATCTTATTCTTATATTTCAAAATAATAATAATTAATATCCTATTCTTTAATAAAATGGCTTCATCGGCTTCCCTGTAATATTAATAAAATCAATATTATTTAAAATATCAATTATTTTTTAATTATTGTAAAATAAAAAGGTCATTTTCGATGTAAAAAAACAAAAGTTGGATAGATTATTTGTGATGCCTTTATAACTCCATTTTTCTTATTGATTTCACATTGTACCCTCAAGTTCATATTTTTTGGATTGTCTCTTAATAAATGTCTAACTTCCTCTTTTGACAAAAATATGTAAATTATATCACTGTGGGCTTGTTTGGCAACGGCTACAACGAGTGAAATGGCTGAAAAGCCTGAAAAAACTGAATCTACTGAAGTGAAAGTGTTTGGTAATATGTTGGCTGAAATAGTTGATTGAATGTAGAATTACCATAAAGGGTATTAGCTTATTTGTGTTATATAAATAAATAAATAAATATATATATATATATGAATAGGAACTTTGTTAGCAAATTATTTTTGCATGATTAGATGATTATAATTGATCACTTAATTAATTAAATAACGGATTACTTTTGAACTAACTGAATAATTGCTCTTAGAACTAATTATTAGTTCGAATGAAGGAGTTGCGGGCTTTGGCAAAATATTTAGAATCAAACATTTGAAGTCAAAGTTGTCAATCTGGAGCAAGGAACATAGGATAGATTAGTAACTACATTCACATAACAAAGCAATAATAAATTTCAACAGGAAAACTACGTAAGTTTTGGCTTGTTTTTTGACAGAAAATAAGAATCAACCATACCAGCCCATTTAATGGGTGTTTGGCAAATTTTTTGCATTTTCAAGCTTTTCAACCACTTTTTGATCCTCCAAACGCTCACTGCTTTTATTCTAGTGAAATTACAATCTTAATTTTAAAGTTTTCTAACACTTAATTAATAATACATATAATCAAAACAAATAAAATGGAAAATTAGCATAGCTAAAACATGGACGTAATGGAAGTTATTAAAACCCCAATAGTGTACGAATTGATTTTTGTACCAAAAGTGTATTATTTGCTGCAATATAGCATGGTGCTTGACTGCTTGCCCATAACCAAGCCTTGAACCTCTTCATCATGTGACCACAAGAGTTAAATAGACCCATTTGCTTTAAATGACAATCTTTTCTTGCTTTTGATAAAGACAAACTTGCAATAATTTTTCATCTTTTTCTGAAAAGTTAAATACACATGAATCTAAACAAAACTTTTTCTATGCCTAAAATTGTGTCTCCTTAGTATATATGGAGTACAATTACAAAAGAAGACAACATGAACATAATTATAAGAGATTAATTAAAAACAAATCTTTTGTGGTTTGTCTTAAATTAACCCAAAAATAACTTCCAAGGCACCCGTTATTACAATCATTCTTTATATTGGCTTATTAGCCATCACTTGCTCCTAATAAATGTTTATTTCTTAGAACCAGTAGAGAAATATTTACAAACAAAACAAGTACTACCAAAATCAAGGATGATGACCATACCACATGCACATAATATAATTAAAAGATCCAACCTCATGAGAAATACAAATTAAAATTAAAACATGTTAACTAAATTTTATTACATTGTTATTAAATATTGATACCAGAATAGTAGAATACAATATTAGGAAAATCAAAAGAATCTCAATTGACTTGAGTCATCCAACCCATTACAAAGGTAACAATTACTACATTACCAACACTTCTTCATATCCGTATCTTTGTTATTTTCCACCTTCACTAAGACACCTTGTAAATCAAGGAAGATTGCCATGTGTACCACCTACACGTAATAAAAGTATTAGTACAAAATACTAATTTTAATACAGTAATTTTCAGATTATCATAACAACAAAAGAACTAAATCAATTAAGTCCTTGTACATATAATGCATACTTGTTTGAGCACCATTTTAATGACTCCTTCGAGCAAAGCTTTCCAAGAAGTTCCACCACTATCATTGGGTACTTGACTAACTTCGGTGAACTACATAACAATAGTTATAGAGAGAGGAAAATTAATTACATGCCATTAAGTATCACCCTTGCTTTTTTGAATAAAATAGCGCCCTAATTTTTTATAGAACTCATAACATGTGGATACTGAACCATTTGTTGAAGTAATGGAATATTTGGATGAAAAAGAGGTGCATCATATGGATTGGTAGAGGGCACCCAATAATTGTATGACTGAGGGCTATTAGCTTGTAACAGATGTGTCGGAGATAACAAAGAATATTACCGCGTAGCTAGTCCCAGGCAAACGTTCACTTGAAAGGCTTGATGGCTAATCAATTAGTATTCCACTCTTTTGAAAAGTGTCGTTAATATTCAATTCTACATGTTGCATTAACATCAACCAACATCAAGAACATTATATAAAATAATACATCACTAGTATATATAACTCATTATTTAACTCTTTGACCTTGGCTCTCTCATTTACATGAACCTTTGATGAACTTTTTGAAGATTCACATTTCTGGATTATTTTACCCTGCAACAAAATAATAAATATAACTAGAAAAGTTTAGAAGTTCCACTCTTTTTTCTACAAGCATTAACACAAAAGACGATTACATGATATCTCTTCTTTTCACTAACTGTGAAGTTAGGACAACCACCATTATCCTTGCTCCCAACACCATCAACATCATCACATTTATACATCTCATTACTACAATTGGTTTTGTTACCGTGATTGTCTTCATGCAGAAAGGTTCATTTGCCCTGCAATAATATAAACATAACATGTACACACATGTCATACTAAAAAAAGATTTTAAAATATAAAAGTTTTCTAACATATGTAAATATATGGAAATTAATAAAGTAACATGACATCTTTCGTTGTCTTCCAAAGATATAACATCATCATTTTGAGTGCGATTGTTATCGGAAGCTATCCTTGGGCATGTTGTTATTACATGTCCTACACGGTTACAATTCGAACAATGCCTCCTTTTACCTCCTTTTTTTCTTTGCTGGGGCACCTTTTGTCTTTACAACAGTAGGATCACCAATATCTTCAACAAATGATGCATGACTACTCCCTTGATCACCAAGCTTCTGTAACTTATGAGTGAGTCTGTGTATCTCATCTCTAACTTCATCAAAGTTTTCAGTCTTTTTTATAGCAATTTTACACAGTCTATTACAAGAAGCTGCTAAAGCACCAAAACGAGCAAATATCATAACATCAACATGTACTTCATTTGATGACATTGCAAAGATTATATCAATCTTACTCGTCTTAGTCCATCTTCCACATATCAAGCTACTAGGAAAGTTCTGGATGTTCTCAATTTTCAAAAACACATATAATATGAGAAGAAGGAATGTTGTGGGATTCATAAAGACGACAAGCACATGAAAATTTAGAATTTGATCTATCAAAATCAACTTTAACTAAACTTTCAGGATGACCATATTTGCTTAGGTGAAGAGTCAATTCATCTCATTTTCTATTCGACCCACAACATTTAGTGCACAACCAAGTTCAATCTCTTTCTTAACTTCTGTAAACATTTCCGATGTATATATATTAGCAGTCTGGCGCTTAAGGTGCTTCAAGGAGCTCGTCATTACTGGTTCATAGAAATTGGACTTAAAATCAGCAATCAACTCATTATTTCGGTACTCCCTTAGCAGCTGTTCAAAATTATGAATTTTATTCATAGAGGGTATTTTTTTCCTCGCATAGGATCTAATTAAAGAATTTATTGCTTCACACTGAGATGTAGTCCGGATTCGTCCAAAGAATGTGTCTCGCAGATATGTAGTAGCCCATAATAACTTGTTGTCATAGGTTTTCAAAACCCATGTGTTACCTTCAACCCCATGCTCAACTATAATTTTCTGCCAAAAATCTTCAAACTCTTCAGGGGTGAAATTAGTATACATTGCTTGCTTAAAATCCTCCAAAAATGGTGAGTCTTTTGCATTCTGACATGCACTTTGACTCAAGTGACACGAACACAAGCGATGAATGGAATCTGGAAAAACTAATTTAATAGCCTCTCTCATAGCAACATTAGCATCAGTAACCATTGATATGTGATGTTTCTTGTGCATTGCTTCCAAAACAACTTCTAAGACCCATTTATATGTCTCAAATGTTTCATCTGTCACCAAAGCACAACCAAATACAATAGTTTGAGAATGGTGGTTACATCCTGAAAAAATAACCAATGGATAATTATATATTTTTTCTTGTACGTGGTGTCAAATCCAAGAACGTCACCAAAGCACTGAAAGTCTACTATGTTTTGTCCATCTGCCCAAAATAAATATATGTTTCAGCTTTCCATCATCTATATATATATATATATATATAATAACAAAATCTTGGCAATTCAATTTGGGCGGGAAAGATTGTACGAAAAAAATGGGCGTGAGTGTGGGGGAGTGTTTATCCTTTGTGCCTAATTCGTTAAGGCATGCATGTTTCTGGATTATTCTCATTCAATAAATACATTAATTAATGATGGTGACATGCCTTTCTATCTTCCCAAGCTTGGCTTCTCGAGGAAGTTTTATTTCAGCCTGGAATATTAATGCTGCATAATTAATTTAGCTAAATGTACTCCTCGATAATATCATGACTATAATTGGTTTTGCAGACTCAATACTAGCATTTATTCGTCGATCTTTTGTATTCCAACGTCTATATATAAATGTTTATAGGGACATCATTCTATACCCAATTCCATTCACTCATACTCCGTGAATTTTATTTTATTCCCTCCTAGCATAAGAACAAACATACAATTACGATTGGTTAACGATCAAGAACAAAATCAAATGTTGGTGTTGAGATTAAGCAAGGAATGGAGTGAAGATCTGTGTTCGTATAGAACACCGGAAGGAAAGACATTAGAGATATATGGAGGCCGGCCGCTACAAGTCTAGAAGATCGAAGAGGTTTGCTACGGCCATGGGATGGAAAACGATTTTGTGTCGTGTACGTCCTGATAAGTTCTGGATTGGACTACACCCTTTTTTGGACTGATCTTCATTATCATGGGTGTGAGATAACTAATGACTAATTACTACGCATATTGTTTTTTTTTTGGAATAATTACTACGTATATAAGTATATTGTAAGTATTAATAATTAATAAAGATAACTTTTGGCAATTTCGAAGATTGATTTCAACCCTTATTACATGTGCGTAGTCTAAGACTCTAAGAGGTTTTCCATTGAGCTGCAGATTTGGACAAAATTAAAATGACAACATTGAGATATATGCATACATTTATCTAATCAAAAGAAAAAAGCTTACGTGTCTGATCCTTTGACAGTTTTAAAGTAGCTTACATACTAAAATTATACATTTGTGAAAATAATATGGTCATGGGACTAAAATGATTTTTTGCATAAAGATTGGAGTACATGTCTTACAAAAGCAAATTTGGGGTACTTATCTCACACTTTTTTAAAGTTTGAGAGATTTAAATTAATTTTCCCATATTTCAACTAAAAATTGGTTATATCGTTACCAAGTTGGCATTAAAAGGTGCATAATACTGGTGGTAAACTATATTTCCAAATAAAAAGTTATTGAGTTTGGATATATATTGTTGTTATATATCATTTCTTTTTCTACTTTTATCTCTTCTTCCATACTCATATTTTTACACTTTCTCTATTACTTTATCTACACATTCATTACCCTTATTACTTTTTTCTTTAAAAAATAATGTGCAAATTCGATTATAGCGATCTTCAAAATACGGATGAAGCATATACAAATATTAACCTTAATGGTTGTGCATTTTTAATTATATTGGATAGTTTTAATTATTTATTATTTTCACTTTAATGCTCCCTCCATTCTTAAATAATAGTCTCCTAGGTTTTTTGTGATTTTTAAAAAGAAAATAGTAGGGGTAGTATAGAAGGTGTAGTGTAAATGAAAAAGTAGAAAATATAATATATCAAGAAGAGTAAAGTAATGATAAAATAGGTAAGAGTAAATAGTACTGTATGTAAAAAGTAAAAAGCGGTATGGAATAAAAGTAGAAGTATAAAAGTATTTTGATTGAAAAAATTTACTAAAAAAGAAAACAAGAAAAAATAATTAAAAAACATTCTAAAAGGTATACGAAACAATTATTAGAGAACCGTAGGAATATTTTTAAATCTCATACGTATTAATTTTTTAATATATTCCTGTGCATCGCACGGGTACTATACTAGTCTGTAGTAAAATACTTACAAAACATTATGGGTTCATTGTCAGCTTTGCCTTGAATGTAGCTAAGAGCAGTTCGTGCATCCCCATCTTGAATCTTAACATGCTTCTGTCTGTCAAGATAGTTATATAGATCCTTTTTTGAAAACTCAATCCCACTATACCCTCCTTTTTGAGCCAACATATATCTCATAATGTGACATGTCCGAACACCTTGCATGTGTAAGATATTGGTTTGGCTTTGTCTGCATCATTCAAGGCATGATAAGAGGGAAATAGGTGGACATACGTATAAGGAGTTAAAAACGGATTATGTTACTCCACAAAAGAACTCACAATCCATTTTGATTTTTTTTCTATCTAAGCGCACACGGAACTTAGCTTTACAATTTGTGCGTGTGATTGGTGCATGTGATTTTTTCCTGTCTACATTCTCCAAGTATTTTTTTTGCCTCAATCCAGCTCTATTCATACTAATTGTTGCATTGTAATATTTTTGTTCCTGTCTCGAGCAAGATTATGTTTCCTCGCACAAACCCCTTACATCTTTCATATGTTTGTAACAAATTGCAAACTTCATGCCGAGTATCAAATTCCAAATCCCGAATCTCACTAGATGATATGTCATATATTCTTCTAAAATGATGATCATTAGCCAGTAATTGAATGTTGTCTTCATTCTCACTACCCTGCTAATTTTCATCATCAGTACTAATCTCGCAATCACTATCATCATTGTCAGATATAACTTCTTTCTCGTCATCCAAAATATCATCTTGATCATGACTCAAATTAGCAAATTCCTCATGTTGGTACACGAGTTTGACAGCTTGGCTACATTCAAAAAGGGTTGACCATGACAATTAATGACACATTCATTAGGATTAATGCTAGCTAATTAATTTGAGTGGTTTTATGTATATAATTAGATTAATTATTGTAATTAAGGCATAGGTTACTCAAAGGGTTGACCAGAATTGATGATGTCATAATGACGATTTTGATGTCGTCGTAACGGTCGGAACATGTCGTCGTAACGGTCGGAACATGTCGTCAATGGACAAAAGTGCATTGAATGCCTCTCTTATATATAGTTACATGCTCTATGTAATCAGGACACACTCAGTTACGAATATACACAAAAGAGTTCTCCTATTCTCTCTATTGAAGTTCATAGCTATTCATATTTTATTCAAATTATTGATTATAGATAAAACTCTGAAGGGGTCTTGGTTTGGTCCCCCCCTTCGTTTTGTTGTGCTTTTAAATTTAATAAAACTCTGATAAATGCTCCCCGGCATTTACCCCACTAGATGCAGTGGTTTGCCTTCCGGGGTAAAAAAAAATGATTATAGATAAATCTATTTATTTTATCTTGTCAATCATATCCATTCGAAGAACACTCTAAGTTTCACTCTATTTTGCTCTCTTAACATCGTTCTTGTCATCTTCTTTACCTTTCTTATATGAGACCCAATCAATATACAATTTCTATTTTAATTTGTTTTAGCTTGTCCAAATTTGGCTAAAACAATTTGGCGCCGTCTGTGGGAAACGTGCAAGAAAAACTATCATCCATGGAAGGTCATAGCTCAATGACGTAAAATTAAAGTGAACTGAGCTAACTAATAACTATAGAAAAAAGGAAAAACAACGTACTCTCATCCTTGGTCTCCTAGCAAGCACAAAATTAAACAATTTAAAAAAATAGAATTAAAAGCTCAAAGTCTTACAATGTTTTGCAGAATAAATCACACACACAAGTTTTCAAATCCATAGTATGGTATGTATAAATAATGATGTTACCACGGGCAACAATTATTCCAATTTTTTGTTTTACGTGGAACATGATATATTTGTGGTATAATTTGACACATTAATTAGAGCCGTGAAACAAGATTTTAAATATGAAATTATACACTATTAAACTATATATAAGAGGTCTTAACTCGTGAACATGTAAGTAGTCTATATCAAATTTTAATATATTCAGTTAATACATCATTGAAACATTTTAACAAACACCTTATGGACATGAAAATGAAAAACAAATTTAGAGAAAAATTCGAATCATGAATGCCATGTATACGGAATTATGAAACATATATAATGAAATAAGCATCACTAAAATAAATTAAACATGGAATTAGAGGACAAAAACCCAAAAAACCAACAAAATTAAGATTCGTTACCCTATGTGGTGGTGGCTGAAAGTAAAGGGGTAGAAAAGGGTCATGATGTATTCAATGAAACTCATTAGCAGCAGCAGTGGTGGCGGCTTTCTAGGCGTTCATTAACAGCAGCGGCGGCTTTCTAGGCACTCATCAGTGGTGGCGGCGGTTCCATCGATGCTAACTAGCGGAAGTAGTGGCTTAATCGGGGCTTGAGCACTCCTTAACAGTGGCGGCCGATTTGTCATCCTCGTCCTCTTCCCATTTTCATCACCACTGTGGTCGATTGATCTAGAGAAAAAGAACGGAAAATAAAGGTATGAGAATATACGCGAGGAGAATAGGGGGGGCGGAGGGGTGTCGTGGAAGAAATAAAGTGAGGGTTTCGGTTCTCACTGATTGGTGTTCATTATACTCTGTATATGGTATTATAACAATTTAAAGATAAACGTTGCATATTACTTAAGTCATATTACTAATATGTAACACTTTTTTACCTATGTTACATAATCTTATATTTCAAAGGTTTATGCAACATTTATATGTAAGTGTTGCAAAATTTAAACTCTAAATGGTATATGTAACATCAAAAATAAGTGTTACATCGAAAATGTTGCAAAAAGTCTATTTTGTTGTAGTGGACAATGGTGGGACTCAAGATGCAATCGAAAGTTGGGAAGGAAGAAACAAAAACTATCATCTTGTCAACTGCTCATACACCAACCGTCACCACTGCTTTCATCTCGTTGAACTCGACAACACCTTGCTAACTTAAAAAAGTCGGGGGCACAGGAAGTCAGAATCTTCCAGGAGACATGACTACAAGCATGAAAAGCCTTATTCGAGGCCTGAGGAACAAGTCGTCACTTATGTGGCAAGATAGATCGGACGACATGTCGGGCGGGGGGCATGTCGTCCGATGGTAGACAGGTTCTTAGGAGCCACAATTCGGTACCTTTAAACTTGTTTCGCTTTTAGTTTATTATTTTCTTTTACATATTGTCGTCATCCCCATGACGAAATAGACCAATCGACATGATTGAAATCATCAGACAGGGGGGCATGTCGTCCAGTAATAAACATAACGAGGTAAGTTGAAATCGTCTAACTATAGACAGGTTCCGACGATTGATATCTATTTAGTTTCAAATATGTATTCCTAATTTATTACTTTCCTTTACATATAACACGATCACTAACTTAGGCGTCGGAGGGCCGTTGGCTAAAAGCCAATGACCAGACTCTGACAACATGTCTGCATGCAGGATAGCGACGGAATGAGAGACAACCAGTACTGTACACACACAACGACAACTGCTAACGATAACTAGACACAATCCCCTTACTACGTCAAACAAGGGATGATTGGGCTTCTAACCAAGGGCCGACGTTAACAATTTCTTTTTTGCACAGGAACCGTTGACAATGTACGAGATGATGTCCTAACATACAAAGCCTTACAACATGTCAAAACATAATTGACGGGGGGCTTACATCAAACAAAGCCTTACAACACGTCAAAACACAATTGACGGGGGGCTCACATCATACGAAGCTTTACAACACGTCAAAACACAATTGACGGGGGGCTTACAGAATTACATGGGAAGGGTTAGGCTGCCCATGAGAATATCATGGATCACAGTCCTAACAGAGCCCATACACTACGTTCTGGCCAAAACCTACACACGTATATGACGACGCACGTGCAACCAAAACAACAGACAGATCATACATAACAAATGCTAACAACATCAAAGTCAGACAAACACAAAACAACAACAGCACACGTACAAGTGACATCATCACGTGGAACAACAACTACATCCAAAACTACAAAAATACGCAACAGAAGCGTAACAACATTAGCTCCAAAACATAAGGAGACACTATGAATGACATGGATACAAATCATAAACACTCATGTTGACAATATTGATAAAATTACAAACGAAACGTTATTCAAAGTTTTTACAGGTTATGGACTATGTTCACACAACCCAACTTGTAATCTTTAACGACGGATGATGTCCCCTTTTCCAACTGGAGTGTCGACATCAACATGTGAGATGATGCAAATTTCCCTCATCTATTCGTCAGCACAACTTTGAACGGAAAAGGACAAAATTCTAGTTTGCTGACTTTATTGTTTCTGTCAAGGAGACGGATCTGATCGGAGGTTATTCGAAAGAAAGACGGAAACATTTCGTCAAAAAAATTGATCAACATGTCACGATGCGATAAGTCAAGGTGCGAAAAGTACTTTCAAATTTTCGACAAGTTGTTGCTGAATATATCGACATGTGTATCATTCGCCTCAACTTCTCGAAAAGGGGGCAATTGTTGGTACACGAGTTTGACAGCTTGGACTACATTCAAAAAGGGTTGACCATGACAATTAATGACGCATTCATTAGGATTAATGCTAGCTAATTAATTTGAGCGGTTTTATGTATATAATTAGAGTAATTATTGTAATTAAGGCATAGCTTACTCAAAGGGTTGACCAGAATTGATGATGCCATAATGACAATTTTGATGTCGTCGTAACGGTCGGAACATGTCGTCGTAATAGTCGGAACATGTCGTCAACGGACAAAAGTGCATTGAATGTCTCTCTTGTATATAGTTACAGGCTCTATGTAATCAGGACACTCAATTACGAATATACACAAAAGAGTTCTCCTATATATTCTCTCTATTGAAGTTCATAACTATTCATATTATATTCAAATTATTGATTATAGATAAATCTATTTATTTTATCTTGTCAATCATACTCATTCGAAGAACACTCTAAATTTCACTCTATTTTTCTCTCTTAACATCTTTCTTGTTGTTCTTGTCATCTTCTTTACCTTTCTTGTATGAGAACCAATCAATATACAATTTCTATTTTAATTTGTTTTAGCTTGTCCAAATTTGGCTAAAACACCTCACAAACAAATTTGTTCATCTATATTACAGTCATTTACAATAAACAATAACAAATAAAATTATAGTTTCACAAAGGTAAAAATTGTGATAAAGAATCTACATCAATATACTAATTATAATATTGCTAAGGACGACTAAACTAATACTAACAAAATTACAATAAATTGATACACCATTTATACATGAATGTTTTGATCCCTTCCATGTTTTAAACAATTAGTTTAAAAATTATTTGAAGTACTCACTGCATAACATTTGGTCATTTCCCAAAAGAGCCTTTAAGATGCATTGTTGAAATCTTAGATATGCACCATATGTGATAAATAACGATTATAATGCTTTAAGGTGAAAGTTTATTGTCTTCGATAAAAGCACGAGTCAAACAAGTTTTCATGAGTGTATCTTTTTATGCATTCATGTTTTATAAATATATTATATATGTTCTTAGATTCCATTCATGATATCACGTTAAATATTATTACCATCGATATATTTATTGGCAAAACTGCCCAAACATTTAAATCTTAATGCTTTGACAGAATTGAGAAAACATGAAGGCAGTGAGAAACCCATCATTGTCTAGGTTTATCTAAAATTCCAACATCCTAAACATTGTTAATCATAAAAGTAGAAGTAAAAAATCAATCTAAAAAGTAAAAGTTAATCTAAAAATCCATCATCCCATGCATCGCACGGGTACTATACTAGTACATATAATAGCCTATTAGGCTTAAATCAATAATCAAACAAGAAATTTCAGTTTAAGTGAAAATATCATTATAGATGAGAGATACTACGTATTACATTTGTGGGAGGGGTTGGGGGTTGGGTACTACTATACTACTCGGTGCATTTTATTTTATAATAATACATTTGATCCAGTACATGTATATTCAATACCATATTACCATAAAATATAAATCTATGAAACTTACAAGATGTACAATAGACATTAAATCTAACCAGAGGACACCTAAATGACATTGAACCAAAAAAAAACTTTTTAACTATTGAAAAATTGATGGTGAGATTACCAAAATGTCATCACAATGAAATAGCCTACCATATTACTTCTCTTTATCTTATTTGACGACATTACGTGCTATATTAAGATCTGAGTTATTCCTTCCAACATGTTGATCTTTTAGAATGAAGCACAAGTCTTAACATGGTATCACAGCCAAATCAATCAATGACCATAGTGTGGGGCCATATAAAAAAAGACGATGATTATAAAAATGACAACGACTAACCAATGAAAAGATGAATGATGATAAGCATCAGATTACTATCTTAAATCTATTATTGTGCAAAATCCCATTCTTTTTAAACCGCCAAGTGTTTTTTTTCGATGTCTTTTATTATTGTTTTTTGGGTAAAATTTCTTTTATACTCTTTGTACCTTTATAAAAGATAGTAAAATTTTTTCCTATAAAAATTATATTTATACCTTCACCTTTATTACATTTTTTTACTTTTCACAAACTATTTTCGTCTATCTTTTGCTTGTTCATTATTTATGTTTTTTAAATATACCCCTTCCCACTTATTCATTTACTCTACACCATCTGTATTGATCATGTTATTTTCTTCTTATGCGCCACAAAATACATAAGAGGTTACAAAACACATAAAAAGAATGGAAGGGGTATTTAAATAAAATAGAAGTAGTGGGAATAACAATTCTAATACACATTATCTGGAATGGTATCTAAGAATGTGTTATATTCACTTCCTCTAAACTTTGTCAAATTTGATTGACACAGGAAATAATAAAGTAAGATTGTGTGATTGAAATTGAGCAATATAAAAAGAAATAATGCGAATCACAATTTCATTGAATAAAAAGGGAGTGATAAAGTTTTTGGGACATCTAGGAAAAGAAAGATGACAAAGTTAAAAAAAAAAGGAGAGTATTTCATTTGGTGACTTATTATGTTAGTTTTTTCGTATTTAAGTTTTTACTTTTACTTAATTTATACGATGTGTTAATATAGTAATTGCACATTTATGGTGTAACAATGTATTTTCCTATTTTATTGTAATTTAGTAATTTTAGTGGATCATGAGTTTGGAGCAATTAATCTCCAATAAAAGAACACTGGGAGATAACTAACAAGATCAAACCAAAGGGGTACTTTTATAGGCGTTTTGAGGTTGCTGGGTCGGGTGCTTGATCAGTAACATTGACAGTGGCTACAAAAGTGCTGAAATCTAATTATATCCGATTAGATATGTCTGTATACGCGATCGGGTATGAGGCAAAATCCAATTTCCCATGTTCTCTCGCTTTTTTTTATTTTGTATTGTCTTTGGGTCGAATCATATCCAACCGAGTATTGGTTATACCCGATTGAGCAGGAATGGACCGGTTCTGGTCGGCCCGGCCCGGGAACCGGCCCGACCCGCCACTGTGCGGGCCCGGACCAGCCCGGTGAACCGGCTTGGGAACCGGGCCTAGGACCGGTCCGGTTTGTTAGAGCG